CCGTCCGTGCAGAACGGCACCCCTGGGGGCAGCCCAGTGCAGCCCAGTGGAGTCGCACGTGGCAGCGCTCCATGCCGTGCACTTCTCAGGGTTGTGTTTCAAGCCCAGTGATTCCAACTTTTTTTTGAAGTGCACTTACCTTTTTCTCTCCCCAGCGCCTGCCTGCTGGCGCTGATGGCTGCTGCCATGCTGTGAGAGGGAGGGGGGGATGGGGAAAAGAATGGGATAGGGCGGAGCTGTAGTGGAGGTGAATTTTGAGTCGACTATAAAGTATGCCTTCCTGCTGGTGCTGCTAGGTGCTGCCAAGGAAGGGAGCGAAGGGGAGTAGCGTAGGTAGGAAGTGTGGTGGAGGTGGCTTTGAGTCAAACTTAAAGGCTGTATGCCTTCTGGTGCCGCTGGCTGCTGTCTGCCATAGTGTGAGAAGGGAGAAGGGGGGAAGAGTGGGATAGGGCGGAGGTGTGGTGTGGTGGTGGTGAGTTTAATTTAACTCTAATGGCTGTCTGTCTGCTGGTGCGGCTGGCTGTCGCCATGGTGTGAGGGGGGTGGAAGGGAGGAGGGGAATAATAGGGTAGGGCAGAGTTGTGTGAAGCTATTGACATGGGAGCATAGGACCCGCTACTGTGCCTGTTGTGCTGTTGTGTGCTGAGAGGGGTGAGGGGGAAGGAGTGCAACCCATGCTCGAACCCGATTTAACCCAGGGCCCGTGCTAGGATTTGGGGCACCCTGAGGCCTCAAGGCACCTTTTTAGAATCTTAAAAGATGCCCTGGTTTATCAGGGCAAATTTTCAAAACCATCCTGTATGTTCAGGGCTTCTGCAAAAATCAATCGTGACCTGTCAAGGCAAAAAAACCAGTGTTCTGGGTTGAGAATTTAACACACACCAGACCAGACTCTGCTGGTGTCGTTCGTACTAGCACGGGCGGGTGTGACTACGGGAGTTCGAGATGAACCAGTTGCAGGTGAACCTGTTGGTAAGGTGGACCCTGTTCCCAGTCTGATGGGTTGGGCTAGTGCGTTGCGGGGGATCAGAACAGAATTGTCAAAGGAATCGTGCGAAGGCGGGAAACATACACGCGCGTTCCCCGGGAACAGGAACAAACCCACCACCCTCCCCCTCCTCCCCCCTAAAAGAACGCGTCAGGGCAGGCCTCGACATTCATCCTGACGCTACATGGAAGAACACTACACCCATCCTGAATGTTCATGGCATTTCAAATCAAACATCCTGAGAGCTCAGGGTTAAAATTGACACCATTCTGAAATGATAGGGTAAATCCAAAACTGCATCCTGAATTCAAGGTAATCAAGGTGTTTTGCCCTAATAACGTGGGGCCTGATTTAACCAATGTTGTTAGGGGCCAGGCCCCACGATATCAGGGCAAACCATCCTGATTACCTTGATTTCATGATGAATACTTGAATTTGCCCAATACTTTCAAAATAGTCTCATTTTTAACCCTGTGGTCTCAGGATGTTGTATGAAATGCCCTGGAATTTCAGGATGGCCATGCTGTTCTTCCCTGTTGTGTCAGGATAATTGTCGAGGCTTCCCCTGACGCGGATTTTTAGGGGGATGTTTGGGGGGGGGGGGGAGTTTGGTTTCCCGTTCCCGCAGAATTTTTCCCCCAATAACTTTCCCCCCACGGATTGGTTTCCCCGCGTATTTTTTCCGCCTTCGCGTGATTCCTTTGACGGTTCCAATCTTTCGCAGTGTATTCCCCAAACCCATCCGATTAGGGAAAACATGTTGGGCAAGGCAACACTCTTGTATTGTCGAGTGCCATGCATGTACTAGTTAGTAGGGAGTAGTGTCAGAATGTGATATTTGTCTAGCCTGCAGTGGGGTACTCTATAGCGAGTATACCCCAAAATAGGGTTTCCTATATGTACTCAACTGGCTGCTAGTGCAAACCTCTCTTTTTTGTTCTAAACTTCTGCTTGCTATCTCAACATGCTATCAGAGCAGGTCGACCCTCCCAGGTCGATCCTGTGGATAGGCCCACCTAATGCTTCCGCTGCTGTCCTGCCTATCGCGCGCCCCGGGCGCGCGACGTTTGTTGAAATGAACAAACAGGAATGATGGAACTAACAGTGAAATCAGTACAAGTACCTAACCCTAGAATTGTGTACCCCCTATAGGCTAACCCACTGTAGCCTAAACAAGCATAACATATATAATGTTTGACAACGTTTTCTGCCTGCCGCGCGCTCGGGGCGCGCGGCATTTTTTCTTCCCACTGCGCGTCCGGGGCGCGCGGCGGTTTTCTGCCCGCCGTGCACCCCGGGGCGCGCGACGGTCTTCTGCCCGACGCGTCACCCCGTGGGACCCGCCCCCCCCCCCCCCCCCCCCCCCCCCCCGCTGGACCCGCGCGACGCCCTGCAGGACCCGCGCGCTGCCCCCGCTGGACTCGCGCGACGCCCTGTGGGACCCGCGCGCTGCCCCGCTGGACCCGCGCGCGCTGCCTTGCTGGACCCGCGCTCGCTGCCCCGCTGGACCCGCGTGCGCTGCCCCGTGGACCCGCGCGCTGCCCCGTCGACCAGCGCGCCGCCCCGTGGGACCTGTGCGTCGCCCCGGTGGACCTGCACGCGCGGCCCCGTCGACCTGCGCGATGCCCTTGTCAACCCGCGCGCTGCCCCCGTCGACCAGCGCGTCGCCCCAGGGGACCCGCGCGCCCGGCTCCGTGGATCTGCGAGCGCTGCCCTGTGGAGCTGCGAGCCGCCCCTTGCCCTCGTGCGGCTGCGGGACGGCTTCTTCCCCTCCCCCCCCCCCCCTCTCCTTTCCCGTCGTCTCTCTGCTACGCGTGCAGCCGTGGGGGAGGGTAAGGGGGTGGCGAGTATGGGGGTGGCGGGTGTGCGTCGTCCCGTGCTCCTCCTCCTCTCTCTCCCACTACCGCAGGTGCCGCTGAAGGGGGTGGATGTGTGGGAGCCGAGGGAGTAGCGCTAGGGGGTGCCGTGGGATTGGAGCTAGGGGTGCAGCAGGGGGTGTGTGAAAGGGGTTTGGGACAGTTGGGGGAGGTTGAGCGGAGGCAGTCGTTGTGTCGTCAGCAGCGCCAGTAGTCCGAGGCTCTGCTCCGGTAGCCGAGCAAGCCTGCTGCCCCGGTCGCCGGTGGGTCCGTTGCTCCTGCCGCTCGTCTTAGCCGCGGAGCCAGTTACTCCAGTAGTCCGGGGCACTGCTCCGGTAGCCACTCCGTGTACGCGGCTCCTGTTGCCCGTGTGTCTGCGGCTTCACCCGTCGCCTCCTATCTCCACTCCTCTCACAGTCCCTCCTCCTCCTTACTTGCCTTCTGTGAATGCCTCTAGCTTTGCTTGTACTTGTGAACCTGCTCTATGACTGCTTGCTGTGCTGGTTATACCCTACTTTGACTATGGGGGTGTGTCAGAATGTGATATTTGTCTAGCCTGCAGTGGGGTACTCTATAGCGAGTATAGCCCAAATTAGGGTTTCCTATATGTACTCAATTGCCTGTTAGCGCAAACCTCTCTTTTCTGTTCTAAACTTTTGCTTGCTATCTCAACAAGTAGAACAATGCTGGTCCCATTAGAAGTGCTAAAGACATAACCTTGAACACTTGTTTTTTAACCCTGTTAGGTAAGGATTGTTTTTTGCAGAAGCCCTGAAACCACAGGAAGCCTTTGATTTTATGCCCTGACAAATCAGGACAATTTTTTAGATTCCGGAAAGTTGCCCTGAGGCCTCAGGATGCCCCGAAAGCTAGCACAGGCCCTGTTAGGGGCATATATGCCTGTTAACTACAATATGTGAGTGCTGATCTAACCTAAATTTAAGGTGCGACTCTATTAGACTGAATGTATTATACGCGTTAATTTTAATCTACACGATATTTAACCTCCGAATGGTTATAGAACATTTTCAAACGCGGAAAAAGAACTGAACCCTACTCCAAGGTGCCCTCGAGACACGCACACGAAAATTGACAATTCCAGATTTCACTCACACCTGACCTGTCCAAGCATTCGCACCTAGTAGTGCTCACTACGCATCTGACTCATCAAGCATTCTTGTTCAGCCATGGCAACGTCGAAGCTGGTGCTACGACAACAATCTAGGTCGTCTCGCGATGACAGCTTACATCAGCAGACGGCTCGCCGAGTATTATTCCCGAGACTTGTCCGGAAACGACGGTCCGATCGCGCTTTCCCAGTCACCTTTCTGATTGGACAGGTTCTTTCGTTCAATGGCAAGAACCATCGTGTTGAGACGACGAATCGACGGTTCTGGGATGGCAGCATGAGGTTATGCGATAAGAAAGAACCGCCGAGCACTGATCCACCCTCATACGACTGAATCTGATTGGATGGTCTTATGCTCTGCCAAGACGATAGTCACTCACAATCGGATAAGCCTCAGCCTCGCGTGACTCGGGCGATGGGAACCAATCACAGCGTCGCCTGGTTCGGTTCGGAAAGCGTCCAAAGGATGGAAGCGTTGCGTTGCGTGATTGCAACTCAACTATGCCAATGGTCTCGTAGAATCAGCTAACTCTGGGATCACAAGTCTCGCTGGGCCTACAGCCATCGACCGAGAGAATACTACTACTAATACAGGCCTTTCTGTCAGTGAAAGCGACGGATTCGAATCCAAGGCACTGTTTGGCTTTAACCGATCATAGGCAAATTCGATAAGAATCTTGCAGGATCCGACATGGATTTCGAGGTTATTTTCAAATTCCCAGCTAGTCTGACGAATTGTGGATCTTGCGGCCGTACGAATAACAGTGGCGAGACAGCAGGATGCGTCACGGATCACGACGATTGTTAGAGTAGCAATAGCTTCGGAAATAAGCCGACTGCTGCGCACGTGGCCGTCTCTTTCACTGTTGCTCCCGACGAGCTTCTCTTTTCGGTTTTTAACCGATTGTTCCAGTCCCACCTGCCCAACTGCTGCCTGCCATACGCGACACGTCAGCAGCAGGGAGGACAGGATAGGGTAAAATCGGTAGAGCAAGAATCTGAAATTCGGAAGCAGGAGGTTCTTTTCATGGCTGTTGGGCAACAAGTGTGCCTTTCTCCTGACTTGACCGTTGAGCAAGCCAAGCTTAGCGCGGGTACAACCATCAACGTGGCGTCCTTGAAAAATCAAAGGAATAAGGGCGTGGAGAAAGTCGAGCAATCCGGGAATCCTCCAACTCTTGCTTCTGCAACTGCAGTTTCTGGTTCTCTCCCTCCTAGTACTAATCCTGCTTCTGCAACTGCTGCTCCTTTTCCCATCCAATTGGACCCAATCGAGCCCAGCAGCATGGAAGGCGAGGGGCACAAGCCGAGGAGAGGAGCTTCACCAGGGGTGGGTGGAGCAGGGCCGAAGTGCCTTGATTCTGATGCTGGCGGTAGCATGGAAGAGGAGCGGCACAAGCTGGAGGCTCCAGTTCCGACAAAATCTGTTAAATCAGAGCTTAAGAGTGTTGACTCTGATGCTGGCAGTAGCAAGGAACAGGAGGAGGTCGTAGTGAGCGTAGAGAGCTTAGCAGAGTCTGTTCAGAAATTGAAAGAGCAGTTTAAGAGTGTGGAGGCGGTGTGCTTGACACTCCAGACCAAGAGTGTTCGACTGGGACAGTTAACTGCGGCAGCTGGTGGGGAAGCAGAGCAAGTGGAAGCGAAAGAGGAAGAGGCAGGTGCTGGTGGAAAGACAAGCTTCTTACAGCCCATTGAGGAATTGGAAGAGCACTTGGGAACTCTTAAGGTGCTGCAGAGGGAAGTAAGTTCTGCAGCCCAGACCGGCCAGAGTGAACCGAGTCAGCCTGATGAGGCCAACAAAGGGGCAGCAGACGAAGCAAGGGCGGAAGAAAGTCCAAAGCCGCGCCAGCTGCTGTCTCATGCCGATATGGTTCACTACTTAGATGTGACGAGCAGGTGGGATGAGGATCTGTGTGTGTGCTGCTTTGACCGTGCTGTGAGTCAGAGAGCACGGCGAGCACTTGCGATTAAAGACCTTGATGAGTTGCGTTGCCACCTGCGCAAGCTGCAGCCTCGTTCCATCCCCGCAGCAGCCCCGGAGCAGCAGCAGCACAACCAGGCCGCTTTTGAGTCCTGTAACGGGGCATTGGTGCAGGCGCTACGAGAGCAACATGGAGCTTCCCATCAGAGTCAGTCTGCGCAGAAGCCAGGGATGGCGCCTCGCCTTTGTGCGGAAGCAATGGTTCTCGAGTGGATGGCTGAGCCTCGTGTGGGCGTGCTCATGGACCTGGGGAGGATCAGATCCCGCCTGCCTGCTGTTTTGTGTGCCACTGCAGCTGCTCCTGCTGCTGCTTCCTCTTCTCCTGCTCCTGCTAGTGCTGCTGCTCCTCCTGCCCCTGCTGCTGCTGCTGCGTGGTCCTGCTGCTGGCGCTGCAGCAACTGCTGGGCTGCCTACCGTCGTGCTGTCAGCTTCTCAACATTCCTTTTGCTTGTAGCAAGATCCCCTCGCCTCGTGACTTTATGGAAAGCACACTTAGTTTCCTACTCGTCTGCCAGGCCAGCAATCGTCGCTGAGCTGGGGGCGAGCAGGCAGAGGGAGGGTGACAATTTCGCTTCCATGCTGGTGCAGGTGCTGGGGGTGAAGGAGAGTGCTAATCTGCAGAAAGGGTTTGGGTTCTTAGTGCAGCAACTGCTGTCAGGCGGGCTGGAGAAGGCGCATGCAGAGAGTAACGAGGGAGCTCGGGGTAAGGATGCTAAGAAAACGCATGTGGAGGGGAAGGAAAAGGGGAAAGCGGAGGAGAAGGCTGCTGAGATTACGCATGTGGAGGGGAAGGGCAGACAGGATGCGTCACATGGGGAGGACGATGGGAGACAGGGAGAGGAAGAGGCAGGGAGCAAGGTAGAGATTGTAAGTGTTCCTGGAAAGTGCCGGAGGGGAATTAAAGACGTGAAGTGGAGGGATAACCTGAGAGGACCTGTGTGGGAGAGGTATGTGGATGGCATGGCTTGGATTCTGGAGCATAGAGGGGGGAAACGGAGGGAGTTCCAGTGCAGCCACTGCAATGAGAGCGGCAACAGGAGGAGCAGCAGTATTGCTGACAGCAGTGGCGGTGACAATGACAGCAGAAGCAGCAGCAGCAACAGCAGCAGAAGCAGCGTCAGCAGTTCTGGCAGCAGCAGTATGAATAGCAATGCTCCGAAAGGTATGCATGTGAGTGGTGTAAATGCGATCGATTTCGCCCTTGCCGTCACCACAGTATTGTCCAAACTAGAGCACTGGAAGGATGCAGAGTTGTTCTTTCATGATGGGAACTCGGCGAGCAAGGTGCAGGTAGAGAAGGCAGCTATTCTGGTGGCCAGGAAAAGGCTGCTGCACCGCTTGAAGCAGACAAGGGGGACGGGTGGAGGAGCAGGGGCAGATGTAGGAGGGGCTCCACCTGTTACTGCTACTGCATGCGTTAATATGAATACTAAACCCATGCCTGCCAATACGAACGCTGTGGTTTTTGCACTCACGTATCGGGTCGGTTGCATATTGCAGTGGGTCCGAGTCTACGGCTCAGATTCCATCTCGGAGAAACAGTGCTTTAAGGACGACGCTCAGAACAATGTCTGGCCCATGCGCCACCCGCTTCGAGACCTTCCGAGCCTACTCGTCAGGTTCGGCGCCATTCCCAAGCCTTTGGAGGGAAGGAACGTTCCTTTGGAGTGGGAGGAGTGGCCTGGGGGTGACAAAGCTGCTGTGAAGTTTCCTGTGAACTGAAAAGAGAGGTGTTTTGGGCTTGGGATTGTGGAGGAGCATGGTGAAGCCCCTGAGAAGCTGGCCCAGGACCCTCCTCAGCACACATCTGAAGCAGGAAGGGATGGCAGGCGTGCAAAGGATGCAGAAGGCCAAGGAGGTAGTCACGAAGGTGAATGGAGCATGGCGCGTGGGATAGCTGAAGCTGGAGGGGGCAGCAGGAGTGCAAGGCGGAGAGACTCCAAGGCAATAGAGCTAGGAGCTTGGGAGGAATCCTTGAAGAGCAAGGCGCGTGCGATAGCTGAAGAATTTCTGACCGCTGATGTGAGAATGACAGTGCTACCACCGCCCAGAAGGAAGCTTCCCATCGTTCGCTGCCTGGCAGATGTGGATTTTCTGGTAAAGGTAACTGGGTGCGTGATGGACCCCCCTGCATGCGCCCACTGCAAGGCATGCTCCGCAGATTTCATGCTATACGCGTGCACCGTTGCTCTCATCGCCAACTTCGCTTACCGCCCCGTCAGCCATCTGTTCTCCCGCGTGCTCTCCCTCTTCCCGCCGCCCTCCCGGGCTTTGACGAGCTCGTTGACTGCCTCGAGTTCCTTGCGCGCCTGCGCAGGCCCTTGAACCTGCACATGCTGCTGAGGCGCACCGAGCCGGTGCCTGTGTATTTCCTCCTTCACATGGCTATCTGGTGCGCCCATCCTCTTTTGGAAAGGAGTGAGTTCAAGAGGCGTGGCGTTGCAGCAGCGCAGGGAGTGCAGTCGGCGGCGAGCGAGGGAGGTGGGAAGGAAGGAGGGAAAGGTGGAAGGGTGGAGGTGCAAGGACGCTGGGACGCTGGAAGTGAGGCAACCCTAGGCCCACTTGGCTTGAGATGACCTCACTTGTGGGAAGTGAGGCACCCATAAGCCAAGTGGGTTGCATTTGGGGGCTCCACCACAATTGGGTGGATTGGCACCCCAAAGTGCAAGACTACACCCAAACTTGGGTGTAGTCCCAACCCAACTGTACACCACGATTGGTGTGCAGTCACATGTGTTGGCATGCTACACAACATATATTGTAACACAACCCTTTAGCATGCTAACACAAGAAGAGAACAACCCTTGAATCAAGGGGCGCCCGGGCGAGCGAGGCCAATGAGGCGGAGGAAAGCAGAGTGCGCAGGGCGAAGGAGGGCCTTAGTGAAGATGTCGGCCAAGTTGGCTTCGGTTGCAATCTTGCGAACGGCAATAAGGCCCTTCTGGACGAGCTCGCGAATGAGAAAGTAGCGGAGCTCGATGTGTTTGGAGCGGGCGTGATAGACGGGGTCCTGAGTGAGATGGATGGTGCTGGCATTGTCGCACCAGAGGGTGGGGCACGTCTGGGGGGCGCCAAGCTCTGCAAGAAGGAAGCAGAGCCAACGGGACTCCTGGGCGGCCATGGTGCCAGCGTAGAGCTCGGCCTCGCAGGTGGAGAGATAGATGGCGGAGGAGCGGGTGGAGCGCCAACTGATGAGGCCGCTGCCAATAATGAAGCCGTAGCCCTGAGAGGAGCGGCGGTCCGGCTGCGTGTCAGCCCAAGAGGAGTCACTGAAGCCCGAGAGAAGAGGAGGGGAAGGGCCACTAAGGGTGAGGGCAAGGTCCTTGGTCCCGCGAAGGTAGCGGAGGACCCGCTTGGCAGCTTTCCAGTGCTCCTCAGTGTGATGACCGGTGCCGACAAAGCGGGCCAGCACGCTGATGGGGTAGGCGAGGTCGGGACGGGTGCACATCATTGCGTACATCAGGGACCCAACGAGCTCGGCATAGGGGTGGGGGGAGGAGGTGGGGGAGGAGGGTGGTGCGAGTTGGTGGCCGAAAGGGACGGGGGTGGAGACAGGCTTGGCTTGCGCCATGTCGAACTTCTCCAAGACCTGACCGATGTAGTGGGACTGTGAGAGGGGGATGGTGCAAGCAGGGCAGTTGTGCGTGATGGCCATGCCCAGGTAGTGAGTAAGGGCGCCAAGGTCTTTGCACTTGAGATGCTGCTGCAGGGACAGCTTCATCTGCATCATGTCGGCCCTGGTGTCAGAGAGCAGGATCATGTCGTCCACATACACCAGAATGAAGAAGCGGCGGGGGGAGGAGCGGATGAAGAGGCTGGCGTCGGAATGGGAAGCGGAAAAGCCGAGAGACCCTAAGGTGGCAGCCAGCTTCGCATGCCACTCACGCGGTGCCTGCTTCAAGCCGTAGACAGGGCGACGCAGCTGCCAGACAGTGTTCTCAGGAAAGGCTGCATGGAACCCGGGGGGTCGCCGAAGGAAAATGCGCTCGTGCAGGTTGCCCTGAAGGAACGCATTGGAGACGTCCATGGAATCGATCTACATGTTGTCACGTCCGCTAATGTCGAGGGCGGCGCGAAGGGTGGGTGGTTTGGCGGTGGGGGCGTAGGTGAACCAGTAGTCCTCGGCCCAAGTCTGCGTGAACCCCTTGGCGTAGTAGCGGGCCTTGTACACCGGTTCCTCGCCCGGCAGCTGCTTCACCCGAAAGACCCATTTGCCGTCAACGACGTTGACGCCGGCTGGGAGGGGGACATCGACAAAGGAGTCGTTGCGAATGAATGCCTCACACTCCAGGAAGATCGCCGCTATCCATTTATCCGCGTCAGGGCAGGTGATGGCTTCCTGGAAGGTGGAGGGAGTGAAAATGGTGGGGGTGGTGGTGGAGCCAAGGACAGGAAAGCCCAGGAAGTCAAGGTAGAGGGAGGCAAGGAACGGAGTGTGCTCCCGAATGTTGAGGAACTCCATATGGGAGTCCTCAAGGAGCTGAATGGAGGCAGGAGGAGGAGCCCCAAGGATTTTGTCCACTGAGCGGGTATGCATGTAAGGGAGGAGGAAGGGGGAGGAGCGGGAAGTGGCACGGCGCCGCTGCTGGTGCTGGTGCTGCTGAAGCTGCTGCCCTTGTTGTTGCGGCTGCTGCGGACCGTGCTGCTGCTGTGTCTGCTGCTGCTGACTGTGCTGCTGCTGCTCCTGCTGTTGCGGCTGCCCCGGCTGCTGCTGCTGCTGCTCCGGCTGCTGCTGCTGCTGCTGCTGCTACTGCTGCCCCGGCTGCCGCTGCTGCTGCTACTACTGCTGCCCCTGCTGCCGTTGCTGGTGTTGCTCCGGCTGCTGCTGCTGCTGCTGCTGGTGCTGCTACTGCCCCTGCTGTTGCTGATCCGGCTGCTACTGCTGCTGCTGCTGCCCCTGCTGTTGCTGATCCGGCTGCTGGAAAGGAGGAGAATGAGAGGAGGGAGAGGGGGGAGGGGGTGCAGCTGAGTGAGCGGGGGAGGCGGGTGCGGCAGGGTCGTAGACGTCGGCGGAGGAGGAAGGCGGGAGTGGGGCGGCAACAGGTGGGAGGAGAGGCGATGGAGGGAGAAGAGGCGGGAGGATGGTGTCGGTCCAAGCGAGGGGGCGAGTGGGAGGAGGGAGGGGGTCAGGAGGAGGGGTGGAGTAGTAGGGAGTGGACTCGTCGAAGACGACGTCAATGCTGCGGATGAGGCGATTGGTGGGAGGGTGGAGGAATAGGTAGCCTGGGGAATCACGATTGTGCCCAAGGTAGACGCACTCCAGAGCGCGAGGAGCGAGCTTGCCAGCAGCGCGGGAGCGGTCGGCCAGTGGAATGAGGACGAACGCCTTGCAGCCCCAAACACGAAGGCCTGTGGCGTCAGGCTTGGCCTTGGACTAGAGTTCTGTGGGGGAGGAGGAGGGATGCCGAGGGTGGGAGCGGAAATTGAGGAGGAGGGCGGCATGAATGAGGGCATAGCTCCAGAGGGAGGGAGGGGTGGAGGCGTGAGCAATGAGGGCAGCGCGCAATCTTGGTGATCTCACTGATGCGACTCTCATCGATGCCGTTTTGCTGAGGGGAGTGGGGAAGGGTGGAGGTCTGCTGAATGCCGCATGTTTTGCAGTAAGTGGAGCGAGTATGATTGATGAACTCACCCCCACCGTCAGAGTGAAGGCGACCTATGGGACGTTTGAAGTGGTTGCGGCACTGCTCAGCCCAGATGATGACCACAGCCGGCACCTGTTCTTTCATGTGAAGAAAGAAGACGGTGGAGTACCGACTGTGGTCGTCGACGAGCACGAGCATGTACCTGTGCCCCTGACGGGAGCGAATGGGATAAGGGCCCCAGAGATCCATGTGAACAAGGTCAATGGGGGCGGGAGCGAAGGTGGGGTGACTATGATGGGGGGACTGTTTGAGCTTGCCATGAATGCATGATGGGCATGGGGGAGCAGGGGAGGAGGGGAGGGGAGGTAAGGTGGGAGGAAGGCTGTTAAGGAGGCGAGAGGTGACGGTGGAGCGAAGTGTGGCGAAGTTGGGATGGCCGAGTCTGTGATGTAGGAGCACTGCAGGATGGGAGAGGGCAGTAGAGGAAGAGGGGGATGGGGTGGGGGAAAAGTTGGGGGGGGAGGAGGAGGCGGATGGAGTAGAGGAGGATGACATCGGAGGAAGAGGGGGAAGGGGAGGGGGAGGGTGAGGGGGAGGAGGAGGGGGAGGGGGAGGGAGAAGGGGACCGGTGGAAGTACCAGCACGAGTGGTGACGTGACAAAAGGAGGGACGGGGTGTGCGGAGCGTGTAAAGGCGAGTGCGAGGGCAAAGGGGAATGCGCAGGAGGAAACGGCCAGAGGCGGTGTGGTAGAGATCGCAGTAGGAAGCAAAGCCAGGGTATATGGCGGTAATGCCAACGCCTTGGAGTTCACGGTGGGAGAGGAGGTTATTACGAAGGGTAGGGATGTGGAGACCGGTGACTATACCGGATGGGAAGGCGGTGCAAGGAAGGGTGGAGAGGTGAGTGCAAGGGATGGAAAAGCTGGAGTCGGCACCATGAACCTGGGTGGGAAGTGGGAGGTGTCAGAATGTTATTATCTAGTCTGTAGTGGGGTGCTCTATAGCGAATACAACCCTGTTAGGGTTTGCTATATGTATCCCAACTACTACTAGTGAAAACCCCTCCTTTCTTCATTCCTCGTTCTTTCACATGCTAACAGAGCAGGTCGACCCTCCTGGGTCGTTCCTGTGTATGGGCCCACCACCTCACTGCTTCCGCTGCCACTGCTACTCTGTGTGTTGCACGCCCCGTGGCGTGCGACGGATTTTTCTTCCCGCCGCGCGCTCGGAGCGTGCGGCGGTTTTCAGCCCGCCGTGCGCCCCGAGGCGCGCGGCGGCTTTCTGCCCCGTCGGTCCGCGCGTCGCCCCCGGGGGGCGCTTCGACGGGCGACGGGGACCAGCCCGTCGTCCCCGGTCGCCCGTCCAGGCCAGCGCGGGCTGCGCTAGCCCCGAGTGCGGCCCGTACGGGCTGCACCCGGCCCGCGCGCGGCCCGTACGGGCTGCGCCAGGCCCGCGCGCGGCCCGTATGGGCTGCGCCAGGCCCGCGCGCGGCTCAGGCTGCCTGCGCGCGGTTCGTCTGGCTGTGCCAGGCTCGTGGGCGGCCCGTTCTTCTCTGCCCCTGAGCTGCCCGCTGTCCCCCGTGCTTCTGACGGCGCCCCACCCCTGCTGCTGCCCGTTCTCCTGAATTAGGGTTTGGGGGTGGGGGGTATGGGGGTGCAGTTTTTGTGCGCCGTCCCCTGCTCCTCCTCCTCCTCCGTCTCCCAGTGCTGCAGCTGCCGCTGAGGGGGGTGGATGTGTTGTGTTGGAGCCGTCGGAGTGGTACGAGGGGGTGACATGGGAGTGGAGTTAGGGGTGAAGCAATTAGGGTGTGTGTCAAGGGTGTGGGTCAGTTGGAGGAGGTTGTGTGGAGGTAGGTGTCGTGTCGCCTGCAGCGCCTGTAGTCCGTCGCCCTTGCTTCGGTAGCCAGTGAGCCTGTTGCACCAGTCGCCAATGGGTCCTTGCTCCTGCCGCTCGTCTTAGCTGCGGAGCCAGTCACTCCAGTAGTCCATCGCCCTTGCTTCGGTAGCCACTGATTCAGCCGCTCCTGTGCCCGTGCCTCTACAGCTTCAGTCGTTGCCTCCCATCTTCTCTCCTTCCACAGTTCCTCCTCCTCCTCACTTGCCCGCTGTGATTACCTCTAGCTTTGTTTATTATTGTGAACTCCTGCTCATTGTGCTGATTACACCCCACTTTGGCTATGGAGGTGTGTCAGAATGTTATTATCTAGCCTGTAGTGGGGTGCTCTATAGCGAGTACAACCTTGTTAGGGTTTGCTATATGTATCCCAACTACTGTTAGTGAAATCCCCTCCTTTCTTCATTCCTCGTTCTTTCACAGGAGGGGGGTGAGGGTGCCAGCGTCTTTTTGTGCGGTTTCGGTGACCCCACTGTCAAGGACAAAGTCCAGGGTGGGGGGAGGAAGGAGAGGGAGGGAACACAGAGTACTGGAGAGTTGTTTCATGGATAGAAGAGGGAGAGAGCGGCAGGTGCTGCTGCTGCAAGTACTGTTGCTGCGGCGGCTGCTGCGGTGTGAGAGACTGTGGCGGTTGCGGCTGGAGAGATTGGGCTGCTGCTGCTGCTGGAAGCACCGCGGATGCTGCCGCGGTTGCTGCGGCTGGAGAGATTGTGGTGGCTGCTGCTGCTGCGGATGGAGAGAACTGTGGCTGGTGCTGCTGCTGGAAGCACTGCTGCTGCTCCTGCGATTGCCGCGGCTGGAGGAGATGTGGGGGGTGCGGCTGGAGAAATTGTGGTTGCTGCCGCTGCTGGAAGTGCTGCTGCAGCTGCTGATGCTGGAGCTGCTGGAAACGCCGCAGATGGGGAGGGGGGGAGGGGGTGAGCAGGCGGAGATAAGGGGGGGGGGGGGAAGGAGTGGAGGGTCGGAGTGTTGAGAAAGGAAGGGCGAGGAGTAACACTGCTCCAGCGAGGAGGGGGGGAGAGGGGCAGGGGGGGTAGCAGTCATGATGGGCGACGGCAGGTGGACCCGCGGCGGCCAAGGGTGAAGTTGCTGCTGATGAGGCTGCTGCACTTCCTCTGCTGCCGCTGCTGCTGCCGCTGGCAGGAGGAGGGAGGGGGGGGGGGGGGGGTAAGGGAGGGAGACAGCGGTGGAGGGCAGAGGCACTCAAGGTGCAGGGAGCGACGGTGACAAGGGTGCAGGCGGCTGTGCGAGCGTGCGGCGGCGGGAAGAGGAGGCGATGGCAAAGTCGGGGGCGGCGGCGGCGAGCAGGGCGCGACGACGAAGGGCGCAGGCGAGGGCGGAACGGCCGCGGCGGCGATTTTGAGAGCGGCGGCTGCAAGCAGGTTGCGGCGGCGGAAAGGTGAAGGCGGCGGGGAAATGGCTGTGGCGGCGAAACGAGGGACGGCGGCGGCAGGCAGGCCGCGGCAACGAGGGGCGCAGGGGGAGGGGGAAGGGGGGAGAGAGGAGTAGGGAGAGGAAGAAGGGAGGGTGCAGTTGCGGCTGAATCTGCAGGCGGCGACGGGGCAGTCACGGCGGCAGGAAGTGTGGGCGGGGATGGTGCAGTCGCGGTGGAGGATGGGCAGGCGGCGCCGAAGCAGTCACGGCGGCAGGGCGACGGCGGCGCAGTCGCGTTAACGGGAACTGCGGGGCGATGATGTTGCAGTTGCGGCGGGGGAAATTGCGGGCGGGTGGCGATGCAGAAGGGGCAGCGAGATGTGTGGGTGACGTGGAAGCAGGTGCGGCGGTGAGAGGGGAGGCGGCAATGCGAAATTGCGGCAGGGGAGGGGGGGGGGGGGGGGGGGGGGGGGGGGGAAGGTGACGACGAGCAGTCGCGGCGGCGGAATGCGCAGGCGGCGATGTTAGGTCGCGGCGGCGGAACGGGCAGGGGGCGACGAGCTGTCGCGGCGGCGGGACGGGCAGGCGGCGCCGAAGCAGGCGCGGCGGCGGGAACGCGGCGACGTGACGTCGCGGCGGAGGGACGGGCAGGCGGCGACGAGGCGTCGCGGCGGCAGGATGCGCAGGCGGCGCCGAATCAGGCGCGGCGGCGGGAACGCGGCGACGAGACGTCGCGACGGAGGGACGGGCAGGTGGCGACGAGGCGTCGCGGCGGCAGGATGCGCAGGCGGCGCCGAATCAGGCGCGGCGGCGGGAACGCGGCGACGAGACATCGCGGCGGAGGGACGGGCAGGCGGCGACGAGGTGTCGCGGCGGCAGGATGCGCAGGCGGCGCCGAATCAGGCGCGGCGGCGGGAACGCGGCGACGAGACGTCGCAGCGGAGGGACGGGCAGGCGGCGACGAGGCGTCGCGGCGGCAGGATGCGCAGGCGGCGCCGAATCAGGCGCGGCGGCGGGAACGCGGCGATGTGACGTCGCGGCGGAGGGACGGGCAGGCGGCGACGAGGCGTCGCGGCGGCGAGATGCGCTGGCGGCGCCGAATCAGGCGCGTCGGCGAGAAGGGGAGGCGGCGACAGGGGGTCGCGGCGGGGGGGAGGAGGGGACAGCGGCGTTACACTCGCGGCGGTGGAATCCGCAGGCGAGGAAGGCGTAATCGCGGCGGGAGGGGGGGGAACGGCGGCGACGGCGTAGGTCGCGGCGAGAGTATGCTAGTGATGGCTAGTTGAGCCACGCGTAGGAAAGGGTTTGTAGCTGTGGGGTGGGCCCATGGGAAAAAAAAAAGTAGGAACAAGTAGCTCTATACCATGTGAAAGTAGCAAATTGAACAAGTAACTTCATTGGAGGAGGAACCTAGCATACATAGTTGGAAGAGAGGCTTGGAAGAGAAAGGTGAAGGTGACCATAGGTTGGGTTGACCTCACTTGGGGGAGTGAGGCAACCATAGGTCAAGTGGGTTGGGTTGCCCACACTTTGTAAAAGTGAGGCAACCCTAGGCCCACTTGGCTTGAGATGACCTCACTTGTGGGAAGTGAGGCACCCATAAGCCAAGTGGGTTGCATTTGGGGGCTCCACCACAATTGGGTGGATTGGCACCCCAAAGTGCAAGACTACCGTATTCTCCCGGGCATAACACCCGAGGGTATTATGATAACCACAGGGAAAAAGGGGGGGCGGGGGGGGGTCCTCTCAACGGAAATTCCTATATAATATCCGGGTCTTATTATATGGTACATTTTTTTTAAGCAGAAAACAATGTGAAACAAAATCAGCTTCAATGGCTTCACTATTGGATTGTTGGTCAGGGCCGCAAAACCGAGTATTCGAGGATAACGTGACCTTTCACTGGAATCTGCCACATGGCAAATTCCAGTGGGCAACTCTGGCACCTGATTCGGTGAAAACAGAGCCAGCCTTGCGCTGCGAGGGTTCATGCAAACACTGGGGCCGGAATCGCGCACGGTGCTTTATTGTCCATGTACCAGTCACGTCTTGACTGGTTTGGTCACGTCCCAGTGCCTCAAAGGGGTCTCTCCTCCTCCTTGTACAGTGGTTCTAGTGCACGATACTAAACACTGCTCGGCAGGCTGTGAGAGCGCCTCCGTCCTACACTAGCAAGGGTTCTTTGTTCATAGGCCTTCCTTCCATGGCGGGTGACACCAATCTGCAGTAGAGTATGGCTTCCTCTCCTGATTCAAGCAGTACAGTAGTTAGGCGCCATCGGCCATATAACACTCCGTCTGCCGCTGCTGCACGCGCACGGACGTCGCCTCGCCCCTTCTTGCCCCAGCCGTCTCGTCCCGTTAGTGCTTCTGGCAGGGATGAACCGAGTAGTAGCTCCGATGCTTCTCGCCCTCCCCTTCCTCGAGTGTCTGTCCCCACTTTCTCAGAGCGTAAGCGCCCGCAGGGTCAGCTGAAGCGCAACGCGGACGCTCAGCCACCATCCCCTCGCCATCGCATGACGAAGAAAGTACGTAAGGCGATCACCGTGAAGGAGAAGCTGCACTGGTTGAAGCTGCAAGACTCTCAGCCCGACCTGGGGAATCGCGCCTTGGCGAAGCTCGCGAAGGTGCAGCCTTGCCAGATCCGGGAATGGAGGAAGATGAAGGAGCGGCTGGACGTCGCATCTGGCTACCGCCGTCGCCTCATGGGATTTGGCCGCAAGGCGAAGTACCCGTTCATGGAACGGGCGGTCTACCGCCACTTCCTCAACCACCGTGCGAAGGGCCTCGCCGTTTCGGTCCGCATGCTCCAGCAGTGGAGCTCCAAGTACATGACACACCGCATGCCCTCGGTGAACTGGCGCGCAACGTTCCGCTGGGCGACGCGTTTCTGCTCGCGTTGGCACTTGGCGAGGAGGGTGAAGACGAAGATGGGGCAGAAGTTGGCTGCCGGTAAGTAAAGCAACAGTGCGATTGTGATTGCGGGTTCGCCGTTTAACTTACACGTGTCGTGGCTCTGTTTGCAAATTGCAAGGCCAAGGTGGAGGCATTTTGGGAGTTTGTGCGCGAGATGCGCACTCTGCACGACTACCCGCTCGACCTCATCGTAAACGCGGACCAGACTCCGCTCTTCTTGGAGATGCCGGCGGAACGCACGATTGAAATGATGGGTGCACGTACGGTTCACGTACGCAGTGCAGGCTATGAGAAGGAGCGTGTTACTGTCATGCTGGCAGTAACGGCGGGTGGGCTCAAACTTCCTCCGTACGTCGTGTTCAAGCGCAAGACCATCCCAAAAGTGCCCATCCCTGCCTGTGAGTGTAACACATCAACGTTCTTTACCGTGCTCCTGCCTGTCATGCGTCGCAACTTACCACGACTCTCACGTTGTGCCGATGGCAGGTGTGGTGGTCCGTGCACAAGAGAAGGGGTGGATGGACGAATCTCTGGTGCAAGACTGGATCACCCAGGTGCTAGTGCCGTTTCTAAAGCCCCTGCGGGAAACCACCAGCCGCCGCAGGGAGGCGATGGTGGTGCTCGACTCCTACCGTGGCCACTTGACAGAGGCCGTTGGTCAAATAATGCGGATGTTTCGGTTGTCAAGGGCGGTCATCCCAGGAGGTTGCACACCGCTTGTGCAGCCGCTGGATGTGTCAGTTAACCGCGCGTTCAAGTGCGGGGTGCGTTCCCACTACAGCACATGGTTTGAAGATGACGGCATCAACCAAACCACTCGCGCAGATGAGTTGCAACCTTGAGTTCCGTTTCAGCAACATCGTTCTAGCATCAGCGCACGCACTGCAAGTACACACTCTTGAATCTTCAACTCCTTCCCTTCCCACAGGCAACCTGAAGAAGCCGCCTGCGGACTTGGTTTTCCGCTGGATCGACGAGTCCTGGGAAGCTGTCCCAGAGGATCTCGTGAAGAAAGTGTTTATCACCTGCGGGATCTCCACCGCCATCAATGGCAGCGAGGACCACCTCATCCTTGCCCACCTGAGGGACAAGGATGAGGTGGAGGTGCTTGACGATGTAAACGAGCTAATTGACGACGAGCTCGTTGTCAACCCCTTCTACGCCGAGGCCCCCGTGCCGGCCGAGGAGCTGCAGCCGGCAGAGGAGGATGTGGCCGCAGAGGAGGAGGAGGCGGCGGAGGCGGCGGCGGCGGCGGAAGAGGAGTGGAACACGCCTGAAGAAGGCGAGGAGGCGGGAGTGTTCAACGACGAGGATGATGAGTGGTGGCGCGCCGGCCGCTATGGCGGAGAGGAGTGTGAGGAATGGGTCGCAGGGGACGATGAGGACTAGATAGCACCAGAAGAAGCATTGTAGTGCAAAGCCATAACTACCGTAGTTGTGATGTTTCTGTTGTTTATGAGATGCTAGGTGCTAGTGCTATGTTTCAATATTAGATTGCACCCCTAACAGTGTGAAATATAAGACAGATATGCAATTTTGCCACCCATAACACCCCCCCCCCCGGGTCTTAAAGAGAATCACCCCAAAAGGGGGGTATAGTACAAACGAGGTCGGCTATAGCACCCACCCCGCACAAGCTACCCGGGGGTGTACTATTAGGGGTGGGTGTTATGTCCGGGAGAATACGGTACACCCAAAGTTGGGTGTAGTCCCAACCCAACTGTACACCACAATTGGTGTACAGTCACATGTGTTGGCATGCTACACAACATATATTGTAACAGACATCACGTGGCTTCTCGATGCAGCCACCTCGCCTAGGTACTGTGAGGGGCTGCCGGGGCAGCGTGGGTCTGCCAAGGGTAGCAGTGGCACTGGCAGCAGCAGCGGCGGCGGCGGCGGCAGCAGCAGCAGCAGCACTGGCAGCAGCAGCAACAGCGGCGCCGGCGGCAGCAGCAGCAGCAGCACTGGCCGTAGCAGCAGCAGCAGCAGTATTCGAAGGGGTGGCAGCAGCAGCAGCAGCTGTAGCAAGGGGAGGGGGAAAAAGGGGGAGGAGCCGGCTTATCTGAAGGCATGGCCAGGGGGGGTCAATCTGGTGGCATGTTTGCGTGAGATGCTGTTGGGGGAGCCGTGCTACTGTCCTGCCTCCTGTGCTGCCCTTTCCATCCCTGCTGCTGCTTTGTCTTCTTGGTCTTCTGCCTCTCCCAACCCTGCAGCCATGCCTGCCATCCCTCCCAACCCCGCTGCCACCCCTGCCGTCTCTCCCAACCCTGCTGCAAAGAGCATCCGTGCTGCTGCTGTTCCAGACATGCAAGGCCGTGCCTGCAGTGCTGTTGTCACACTTGGCTCTGACCCTGTTGCTTGTGGGGTCTGTGTGTGCGGTGCTGCGGGGTGTAAAATGGTGGAGGGCGGTGGTGTGAAGTTCAAGAACTGCTCTGGGTGTGGCAGGGTGGCGTATTTCAGCAGAGAGTGCCAAAAGGTGCACTGGCCCTCCCACAAGCTCACATGCCCCCGGCAGGACCAGCAGGAAGAGAAGTGGGAAGGATGAGAGCAAGGAGTGAGGCAGGAAAACGGATGAGGAGAGTTGTTGTGAGGGCAGTGCCAAAGAGTTGGTGCAGGGAGGTGTGGGGATGGTGGATAGGTGATTGGGGTCGTGGTCAGTTGCACAGACAGGTGCAGGGACAGTGTGATGCCATAGCAAGCACAGCTAGAAGCACATCCGCAAGGAGAGCTGCATGTACAGTTAGCCCATGCAAGAGGGAAGGGTGCAGGGGAGAGGGGACGTCAGGAGGGCTATCATTTGTAAATAGATACTGCATTGTGGAATGTGTAGTTGTCTAGTATCACTTGTGCTTTGTACCCGTAATTGGTGTTGTTTCGTGAAAATTGTAACGACAAAAACTGCCTGGCCTTGCTACCGTAACATAGATGGCTGGAACTCCTGCTTCAGATCGAGTGCCTGGTTGGTTAGTATTTATTCACATAAATCAAGATGTACTGCTTGAGAACGTAACCACGCTGAAACGTCCAGCGAGTCTCCAGAACTGATGTTCTCTTCTTCTTGCGCACCCTTTTTGCGTTGACAGCAATGGTGGCAAGCTGCATGCAAGTGAGAACAGACTTAAGGACATCACCACCAGGCAGTGCAAGGCCCCTCACTGTTCCTTCAGGCAAGCACGGGTGCGAGTGGTGGCAAGCTGAGAGTCACCACCACTATAGGTGGTGGGTGTAGCAAGCCTCACTCTTCCTTCTTGCCCACCCTCTTGGCCTCGGCATCAATGGTGGAAAGCCGTTCGGGCAAGCACGGGTGCGAGTGGTGGTATGCAGAGTACCACGGGTCCGTGTTCATTGCTGATAGGTTCTCCTCCTGTGGGACAGAGAGGCACAGACGGGGAAAGAAGTGGTAGGGAGGCAGGGGAGTTATGGAAGGGTGTGAGTGGCAGTATGGGCTGGTAGGCGGAGTACCACGGGTCCGTGTTCATCGCTGATAGGCTCTCCTCCTGTGGTGGATAGACACACAGAGACGCAGGGTACATGGCAGGGAGATGGGGGAGTTATAAGAGAGTGTGAGTGGCAAGAGGGGCAGTGGTAGGCAGAATACCAGGGGTCCGTGTTTACTGCTGATAGGTTCTCCTCCTGTGGGGCACCGAGACACACAGTTGGGTACATGGCAGGGAGATGGGCGAGGAATCAGAAAGTGAGAGTGGCAGGAGGGGCAGTGGTAGGCAGAATACCAGGGGTCCGTGTCCATTGCTAATAGGTTCTCCTCCTGTTGTAACGAGACGCATGATAACAGGGAACAGAAGGAAATGATGTGGTGAGTGTAGTGCTAACCGGAGCACCAGGGGTGTGTGTTGTTGGGAAAATGTTCAAATTTCTGCTGGAAACAGACAAACTCTGGTAAGTCGCAATTGCATCTTTAGTCCCAAGTAACAGGGCATGGAGGGAAATGATAGGGTGAGTGTAGTGTAATGCTAACCGGATTACAGCACTCTACTTACGTTGCATCACACATGTGTATGTGGCAATGAGAATTTAGATGGCTTTTGACTCGACTCAAAAGTCATCTTGCCTTCCCTGCGGCAAGGAGGATAGACTCACCTGCATCTTGATGAGCCCCGATCGCAGCTTCGGTGCATACCCCATCTTCACTGCAAATGCATCCGCCTGTCAAATCGAGGATGGTGCACAGGACAATGGAAAGAGCATGTAGAAAAGAAGTGAATATGTCAAAAAAGAGCATGCACGAATGACAACAATTGAAAGAACAACAATGCGAGACTGATTCATAACCGACACTGCCGTCCAAAGAAATGATAAAGTGTGCTGTTTTCAATTGACTTTACTCGTGGCAGATGGGTGAGCGAACGAGTTGACAATGAACAACCTTGCATGTGTGGATGCGGAATGCAAAGCACCTGGTACTCGAATGTTCGGCTGATGATGTTGAGGCCAAAGTCAAGCAGGTGAGAGACAGGCGTGGACAGGTGCTGGCGGTGAAGGGAGGGAATAGGGGATAGGGGATGGGGAAGGGAGGGGAGAGTGATGATGAAATCGAGACTTGATGGCAAGGAAGAGTGAGAGTGAGAAGAGGACAGCAAAGAAGTGGCGATGGTGACGCTGTTGAGCCCGAAAGCAAGCAAATGAGGGACAGGGTGGACAGATGCTAGTCCTGGTGGGACATGGGGATTGGAGGGTGATTCATGCATGCTATGGACGAGGAAAGAAACTGACAGCGAGGGAGGCTTTCACAAGGTGCGTGAGAGTTTCAAGAAGATAACTAAGGATGAAGCCACGAGATCACGAGAAGGAAGCACAAGGACGCTGGGTAAACCATGTACGGACGCAGGTCCAAGGGGAAAAATGAATGGATGGACACATCTGGAAGAGCTGGAATCGTGATGGCACTCACCACTGGCTGCTCCTTCAACACACAGTTGCATTTTGGAGGTTCGAGCTATATTGGAGTGAAATTTGAGAATTCTCAAAAGTCACTCCAATATAGGTGGAAGAGAAGCGCAGACCTGGAACAAGAGGATGGCAATGATGACTGGCTCCTCCTTAAAGCCAAAGGAGCGGAAGATGTCGGGCTGCGATCGCACAAAGATGAACCCGGAACACTGGATGAGCATCAAGGCCTGGAGGGAAGAACGGTGAAGGGAGTCAGGAGGAAGGGGGTGAGAGGGGTGGGGAGGAAGAGGAGAAGGGGGTGGGGAGGAAGAGGAGGAAGCATGCGAAGATGTCGAGCTGGGATCTCATGAAGATGAAAACGGAACACTGGATGAACATCAATGCCTGGAGGGATGCATGGAAGAAGGGAAATGGTGCAGGCCAGCTCATGCACTACCAATGCTTGAAACCCCTAGCAACTAAAACACCACAGACCATTGCATTTGTTGATATAAACTTATATCGGAAGAAGGAACGCGTGCATGCTACACACGTGTCACATTGCATATCTGGAAGAGCAGGAAGAAGTGGAAGGTGTGGCCTAGCTTCCAGTGCCCCAGCTCATGTGTGCGGGTGAGGTGGTATTCTCTGTGTGTGAGTGCATGAGACACACACATGTGCTCATATCCTTGGAGTGTGTGTGTGTGCATGTCAGGCAGCAGTACCACCTGAGTGAGCACGAAGAAGCGGATGGTGCGGCCCAGCTTCCAGTGGCCCAGCACATGTGCCCTTATGAGGAGGCATCCTCTATGTGTCCAGGAGTGACACACACACACACGTGCATGCTAGGAAGCTGTGTGTATTACCTGCGAGAGCAGGAAGAATCGGATGGTGTGGCCCAGCTCGTGTGTGCCTATGAGACAGTATCTTTTGTGTATGAGCGTGTGACACACGCACATGCGTTTATATCATTGGAGTATGTGTGTGCATGTTAGGCAGCTATGTGTGTCACCTGCGAGAGCAGGAAGAAGCGGATGGTGTGGCCCAGCTTCCAGTGGCCCAGCTCGTGAGCGATCACTGCCACCACCTCCTCCTCGTCTTCCTTGCACTGCCATGCCATGCCATGCCATGCAGCATGCAACACAGCATGTGGAGGAATGCAGTGAAGTTAGGGTGAGTGAAAGAAACCAAGTCAATGCATTGCAGTGAGATTCACCCAGGTCGTGTGCGACCATTCCCACCACCTCCTCGTCATCGTCAGTGCAAAGCAGTACGAGTTCAGTACAGTTGAGTGGAAGGGAACAACACGGTGCAATGCAATGCAATTCATAAGTGCTTCGGCTCATGTGCGACCATTGCCACATCCTTCTCCTCCTCAGCTCAGGCCTTGCACTGCCACACCATGCCATGCAACGCAGCACGGGATGGATTGGAGATAAAGAGAACTTGGCATGGAGGAGAGAAACGCAGTGCAATGGAATGAAGTGCTTCACCAGAGC